CTTTTTACTGTTGAGTATGATGGTAGCTCTTGCTTGTCATATATGACTTTTATTGTATTGAGGTTTATTTCCTCTGCATCCACTTTGTTGGGTTCTTGTCATAAGTGAATGTTGAGGATTTTTGCATTTATGTTCATCAGAAATATTGGCCTGTGCAATTTTCTTTTTTTGTAGTGTCTTTATCTGATTTTGGTATCAAGGTAATAATGGCCTTGTTGATTGAGTTTGGAAATGTCCTTCCTCTGCAATTTTTTGGAATAGTTTGAGAAGGATAGGTGTTAACTCTCCTCTAAATGTTCAAAAAATTCACCTTTGAAGCCATCTAGTCTTGGACTTTTGTTTGTTGGAAGGTTTTTTTTTTAAATTACTGATTCAATTTCATTACTGGTAATGAGTCTCTTCATATTTTCTATTTCTTCCTGATTCAGTTTTGGGAGAGTGTACATTTCTAGAAATTTATCCATTTCTTCTAGGTTTTGAGGCCTATATGTAACTCAGTTCCTACTTTTTTTTTTATATAGATGAATACATGGGGGATGGTGGCCATTTCTGTTTTCTCCCTTCAGATTTCACATCCAAAATTCTTTTTTTTTTAAACTGAAGTATATTTGAGTTACAATACTGTATTAGTTTCTGGTAGAAGGGAAGAGTCCAGTATTTTTCAAGTGAATGTCTCTCATTTTCTTGTGGGGTTCATGTAGCCTGCTATCTTCTGCAGGAACCACAAAAAAAGACCCCATGAGAGCTAGGACCTGACCCACGTGGGAAGTCTTGAGTCCTTTGCTTGGTATTCATAGCCTGAACACCTAGATCCTACCATGCGAGGGCAGGATGACAAATGATTACTTCACAGTAACTGACATTTTGTGCAGGGACAAGAAAGCTGAAAGATGACTGAGGACATCTACCTGTCTTGATATTTGTCAAGTTCCTCCTGCTTTGATGCTCCCTTCCTCCTGCTTCTCTGATCAGCGATGGCCTCTGAAAAGGCAGAACTGGAGGCCAGAAGACTCCTGACTGGGAAGTCTCAGGGAGAAAGAACCCAGTTTTCACGATTCCAGCCTGAGTAGCTGCTAGCTCTTGTGGTGTCCTCAGGGTTGACGATGATGATTTACTTTAGAGACCTTGTCAAGGATTTTGCTTGTTGAGTAAAAATAATATTATGTAGAATTAAATAAATTATATGGCAATATATCCATCAGCTGCTCTTTTACATGTAACAATAAGGCAATTTTCCTGGACTGAAATGGTTTTCAAAATTCTAAAAATGCTATTGTATGTATTTGTCCATAAGTACATTAAGTAGAATATATTACTAGGTGACCTTCTCAGTTGGAATCTTGTACTCTGAAACTTCCAAGAGTAATTTTTATATATCAATCTTTCTACTCACTTTATAGTCTAAAATCAATCTAATATCATTTATACCACCACTCCCAGTGTCTTTGGGACATCAGATCTTGCTGCGGGAGAACATGGGGCTTCT